CTGTGTCCCCACCCCCCCCCCCAAACATAAATAAACATCAAGAAAAAAATTTCCCTCTTGGGGTGCCTGGGTGGCTCAGTCGGTTAAGCATCTGATGACTTGGGCTTAGATCATGATTTCATGGTTTGAGTTCGAGCCCCACATTGGGCTCTCTGCTGTCAGCGAGGAGCCCGCCTCAGATCTTTCGTCTCCCTCTCTCTTTCTCTCTGCCTTTCTCTCCCTCCCCCCCTCCCCACCTCTCTCACTTTCATTCTCAAAAAGAAATAAACATTAAAAACAAAATTCCCTCTTCTCATCTTCCAAACCTTAGAGTTGTAGCCAGGACAGTTGGCTGAGTTTAACGTGCAAAAGCTGTGACTCACTTTCCAAGTGTTGTTCTCCCCGTGGAAAAAGCCCTTTTCTGCAGGTATATGAGTCAGGATAAGCAGCCTTCAGCTACGGCAACAAACAGCCCCCAATTCTCCGAACTTGGCCGCAGCAGGAGTTTATTTCTTGCTTACGCAAAGGCTACTGTGCGTCCGGATGATTCATTAGAACATCTCTCTCCATGTGATGACTCCGGGATCCAGGCCGTATCGATTTTGTGGCTCGTCCATTCCACAAGAAATTCCCAGTCACTGCAGCCTTGAAGGAGTCCGGATAACCCAATGGAGGAGCTGGCACAGAGGTCACTTCTAGCCACAGTCTGTTGGTCCAAAATAGTCATGTGACTTAACTGCAGGGGGAAAGGTCGGGACATGCATGGAATGTGCGCCAGGCATTTTGGTCTCTGTCACAGCATTTAGCCATCTTGATATACGCTGTGCCTCCCTCCTCCCTTCCTTCCCCCTCTCCTCCCACTCACCCAGACACACACTGGGTCAAGTGCTAGGTTATATAGAAGGTGGTATGGTCAGGCCATCACTGATGATATGACGCTTCCAAAATAATGGTCCTGGTGGGAGCATCTCCTGAGTCTCCCGCCTGCGGACAAGTGAATTATCTGAACCACCCAAGGCGAAGGGTGACTAGCTTTCTTTCGACTGGTGCCCCACCGGGCTATGCATGTGCAACAGACTTCACATAAAATTGCAAATTTCTGACTTTTCTTGAATGATCAGAAGGTCTGGCAACACGAGGCAAACGTTCACACCTGGAGTCAGCGGAGACAAGCGGGGGTGGCCCGGTTTCGATGGCCATTCGTTCCCTAATCTAAGCGAGTCCCTATCATCCACCAGCTTGACTCAACCCTAGCACCTGCCCGGGTCCCTGCAGGCAGCACAGCTTGTGATCCCTAACCTGTGGGTTTGCACAACAGCATCCTCTACAAAAGTTTTATCGCCCCAAAGATGTTCAGTCTTAGGTCTCCTAAAAACCTCTCTCTTGAATTTCTTCCCTCTTATTTGGTCCTTTCCGGATTTGATATTCTCTTCCTGATAAAATCTTTCGATCCTTTTCTTTTGGGTCAAAGGGGAACTACTTGAATTGCTTTATTCCCCCATCCCCTCTGCCCCGATTTTCATCCCTTTGACTGTTCCCGTCAGTCTTACCAGGACACTCTCATCTCCTCTTGCCCTTTCAAGAGATTTGGAAATGAGCTAGGTAAAAGGAACCCAGCCATGGGAATTGAAATATTGCAGCAAACAAAACTCCAGTCTGAAGTGGCCCTTGGCGAGTTAAAATCACTGTCCCATTCCTTAATCTTCGAGGTTTATGCAAAATCGGTTCGGGCTGCGAGTCACAGAAAGCCCGAGGTACTGACTGCAGGGCTCACTCTTGTAAGCACACATCGGTCGAAGAGGGATAAGAGAGCTTTGTAATTTCTGCACCCTCCAGTGTGGGGATCTGACGGCAGCGCTATTTGTGGGCGCGGGTCCAGACATTTCAGACTCCAGCCCACTCCCAATTCAACAGGGGCTCGCTGACCACTAACCGGCGCACTTTTCACTTTGTTTTCTCGTTTCTGATAATTACTAATACAGTAATACTAATGGGGCTCGAAGGACGTGCTCCCAGAGCTGACATTGTGTCTGGCACCATGCCAAGTCCTTTCCATGGTCTGTTCAAACCAACAACCTTGCCAAGTAGGTACAGTTATGTTTCCATTTTACAGACCTGAAACAGAGGTCCTTGCAGAGCGAAAGAGACTTTCCCCGGAAGTGACAGAGACTGAATTTTTTTTTTTAATTTTTTTTAACGTTTATTTATTTTTGAGACAGAGAGACACAGAGCATGAACGGGGGAGGGGCAGAGAGAGAGGGAGACACAGAATCGGAAGCAGACTCCAGGCTCTGAGCCATCAGCCCAGAGCCCGACGCGGGGCTCGAACTCACGGGCCGCGAGATCGTGACCTGAGCTGAAGTCGGACGCCCAACCGACTGAGCCACCCAGGCGCCCCTCCAGAGACTGGATTTAAACCCTGGGGAAGGCTTGTGTTCCAGGGTCCTTTACTGCCTCTCTTAAACACACAGACACACACACTTTTTTTTAAAAAAAGTGTTTACTTTGAGAGGGAGAGAGGAGAGAGAGCAGGGGAGCGGCAGAGAAAGGGAGAGAGACAGAATCTCAAGCACTCCAAGCTGTCAGCGCAGAGCCCGATGCGGGGCTCGAACCCACGAACTGCGAGATCACGACCTGAGCTGAAATCAAGAGTAGATGCTTACTCGACTGAGCCACCCAGGCGTCCCACAAATGCTTTAAAATGGGGATATTTGGAATCACCAGGATATTCTTTCACGATTCTTTTACAATCTAAATGCATTGTTTTCATCCTTGGAGAGCAGTGTTCTAGCTCCGTTTGACTAGGGTAGAGAGACACCTGGTGGCCATTCTGGTTTTTAAAACTTTCTATTATGCAAAAATTCGAACGTGTACAAACAGATCAGTATAATAAACCCGCCCTATTCCCATCACCCAGCTTCAACAATTATTACCATTCTGCTTTTCTGTTTCCATGTAGGCCTTCACCCACTCTCCATCCCCTGCACACTTTTTTTGTGGTTCTTTTTATTTTTTTTTATTTATTTATTTATTTATTTATTTATTTATTTATTTATTTATATATGAAATTTATTGTCAAATTGGTTTCCATACAACACCCAGTGCTCATCCCAAAAGGTGCCCTTTGTGGTTCTTTTAAAAAAAAAATTTGTTTTTAAACATTTATTTGTTTTTGAGAGACAGAGAGAGACAGAGCATGAGCAGGGGGAAGGGCAGAGAGAGAGGGAGACACAGAATCCGAAGCAGGCTCCAAGCTGTCAGCACAGAGCCTGATGCGGGGCTCGAACTCACAAACCACGAGTTTATGACCTGAGCCGAAGTCGGACGCCCAACCGACCGACCGAGCCACCCAGGCCCCCCTGTGGTCCTTTTTTAGAATAAAATTTACATATGTGGAAATCTACCAAATCTTAACAAGGTATCTTGGCAAACAGACACAGCCATGTAACACCCAGCCCTATCAAGGCAGGGAATGTTTCCATCACTCCAAAAATGCTCTTTGCCAGACAACCCCCCTAACCAGGCAACAATTGTTCTGATTTTTCACCGCAGATTAGTTTTGCTTCCAGAATTTCAGATAAATGGAATCATAGGGCATGCACTCTTTTGTGTCTGAGTTCTTTGACTCAGCACAATGCCGGTGAGAGTCCTCTGTGTCTTGCGTACCAGTTCTCTCTTTTATCGCTGTACCCTTTCTATTGTACAGATTCCACGTCCGTTCTCCGGTTGATGGAAATTTGGATTGTTTCCAGTTTGGGGCCATTATGAATAAAGTTGCTGTAAACCTTTATGTTGGAGTCCTTTTGTGGCTGTGTGTTTACACTTCTCCTATGTAAATACTTGGAAGGGGACTGCTGGATCAAAGGGCGGAGGCTAACTTTATTAGAAACTGCCAGACCTTTTCCCAAAGTGATTCTCTCACTTCACATTCCTGCCAGCGATGCGGGAGCGGTCCATCTGTTCTGCGTCTCGCTCATAGTTGGTGCTGTCAGTCTTTTTCATTCGAGCTGCTCTGGGGCCATCTCGAGGGCAGTTCTGACTTGCATTTCCCTGATGACTAATGACGTTGAGCACTTTCCTATGCGCTCATTGACCATTCGTTTTGTCTGCCTTTGTGAAACGTCCGTTCAAGTCTTCTGCGCAATTTTTACGGGGTTTGATTTTTTGTTACTGAGTCATAAGAATCTTTTATCCTGGATGCAAATCCTTCGCAGGTATATATTTTGTGAACACTTTCGGCCAGTCTGTGGCTTGCCTATTCGTTTTCTTAATGGTGTCTTCTGGGAGAAGTTTTTGATGAAGTCAAATGCCTTATTTTTTATAGTTCTTTCTTCCTTTGTCATAAGGAAATGTTACCTTCCTCTGGTTGCAGAGATATTCTCTTCTGTTTTCTCCCGTTAGCTTTATAGATTATGCATTTACAGTTAGGTCTCAGATTCATCTCAAGCTTTTATATATATAAATAAAATGTTATAATATGTCCGACATGTTTTTATAAATTTATATCTTTATATATTATGAGATAGGAATTGTTTATATATAAAGTTCATATATAATAAAAGTTTTCTTTATATAGTTCCATATGTAAGTTTATATAATATATAGATGAATTTAAAAGGTTTGTTTTTAATTAATTTTGAGAGAGAGCATGCAGGCAGGGGAGACAGGCAGAGGGGGAGAGAGAGAATCTCAAGTAGACTGCACTGTCAGCACAGAGCCCTACACAGGGCTTCATCCCATGAACCTGGGATCCCGACCTGAGCCAAAATCAAGCATTGGGCGCTCAACCGACTGAGCCACCCAGGTGCCCTGATACATAAAAAAAGTTTTATATAGAGTTTTGTATATATGTTTATATATTATATAGATATGTGTCTTATATATAGTTTTATATATAAATGTATACTGTATAATATATAGATATATAGAAGTTTTACATATAGTTTTATAATACAGGTTCATATAATATATAGATATGTGGAAGTTTTACATATAGTTTTACACATATAAAAGTTCAAGTAAGCTTTGCGCAGTGGCAGTATCGTAGCCAATGAGGTTTATCCGAGGCGCGATTATTGCTAATTAAAAGTTCAAGTAATAGAAATGTATTAAAATATGAACATATATTGTATATGTATTACACTACATTATTTTATAATATATAAGTATATGTATCATGAAGTAGGGTTGAAATGGGTTTACCTCATTACGATACCTAGCTATTCCTGTGCTATTAGTTGAAAAGATTTTCCCTTTTTGCACTGACTTGTTTTGGTACCTTTGTTAAAAATCAGTTGACACAGCGGGCTTGATTACTCCCGGCGAAGATGCGTGAGTCCTCTAGCTTTGTTTTCCTTTGTCGAGACTGTTTCAGCTATTCCAGATCCTCTGTGTATCCAAAGGTGTCCGTTGTCAATTTCCTGTCCCATGCCCAGATTCATCCTTCAGGACCTGCCCTGGGATAACCCACCTCCTTGAGCCTTGCTCCTTGCATCCTGGTCGCTAGAGGGCGCTGGAGGGACGCTGCGCTAGCCAGAGGTTTCTCTTTCTGGCTCCCTTTGCTAGGTTTTGCTGCTGCTTTTCAGCGGCAGTCGCCTGCGCAGTGGTACATGGTGACCCATGCACTAACCGTGTGCCCAGAGCATGGTCCGTCAGCCCCCCAGTAGCCTGGGCCTGCTGATCACCTCGTGGCGATCCTCCCAACGCAGAGCTCACACGCTCCAGGCCACCTCCTACGGCGGTGACCCCCCACTCTCTCTCTGTACCCTCCAGTCTCCGGCCTCAGCTTGCCCCAGACCTGGAGAGCTGTTTCCCACAGCCCTTCTGACTCGGGCAGTGCTGCACCAGGCCCGCTGCCCAGCGCCGATCGGACTCCCTTTGCCCACCTGTGTCCCTCACGGACACCGTCTAGGGAGAGTGGACCAGCTCTGCCCCCTGGTATCCCGCCGAGATTCTCCACCTTCCAGTGAGCTGCGACGACTCCTTTTCCAGGGAGGTCTGAAGCCCAGCCTTGGAGAGAGGACCCTTCCGGGGTGTCCTGCCTTGAGTGTTCCTCTGTAACAAGAAATTCCCATTGCAACCAAATTCCTCACGCATCTCAGAATTACACAGCAAGCTGAGGTAACTGATGCTTAGTAAGGGATGGTCAAGAAAGACTCTGGGGCCGGGCTGTCTAGGTTCATATCCTGGCCGTGCCTTTTGGCAGAACTTGGACGTGCTTTATAGTGCCTCTGTCCTCAGTTTCCTCATCTGTTAAATAGGCACGGCAATAGCATTTACTTCCTAGCCTCCGCACTAGGGCCAAAGAAAATAGAGGCCAAGTATTTAGCGTAGTACCTAGCAGTCACTGCTCGGTTGCTGTCAGCTGCTGCCGTTACCGTTACTGCTTTTACTACCATCCCCTTGGATCCCTAACCAGACCGTAAACCCTTAACAAAGAGAGCCTAATGTGATCTCAGCGCTCCACTGTCCCCAGGGGATCTCGCTGTTTCCGTCTTCGACGAGCAATAGGGGCTGCAGAATAAGTGAGCTGCTGACGAATGTTCTGTTTGCCGCAGAAAGAAGAAGTGAGGAGGAAGCACATTCGCCTGCACATGGAAAGCACGCTGACCGCCCGGGACAAGGTCGGGGTGCAGGATTTTGTGCTGTTGGATGCCTACACCAGCGAACCTGCTTTTCTGGACAATCTTCGAAAGCGTTTCAGCGAGAACCTCATCTATGTAATGTCACCTGTTCCTCAGCTGTTTCCCTAGACTGGTGGTTCCCCTCCTGCCTGTCTTCACAGCCTCGAGGATAGTGAGCAGTATCTCTCCATTAGATCAGCCTTTAAAGAGCGGGGTGAAGGGACCACTGCCAGATGCACCCCAATCCTGGCTTCCAGTGACAAAGACCCAGCTTAAACGGGCGTAAGCCATAAGACAGAATCTATTGACCCTTGTCACTGTAGGGTCCAGAAATAGATCTAGGGTCTAGGGTGATGAGTCTTGAAGAGCCTCAAGGGCTCTTTCCCACCTCTCTGCTCGATTTTGCAAAGGTCTCTTTCTGGGGCGGACTCTATGCAAGGGGGCAAGGGGGCTGGGTAGCTGACAGCCGGACCAGGCTGATGTTGGTAGACAAGAGAGCAATTCCTCCCGGAGACACAGACATTGGTTGGCTCTGACTGGCCCATCTCGGGTCATTGCTTACCTCTGAACCAGTCCCCACAGCTGAAGTGAGGAATATTCTGATTGGCCAGGCTATTTACCCAGGCCCAGCCCAGGAGGTGAGGATTTAGGCCAGTGTGCACCTTACCGTTTGATGCGGGCTGCCAGCCGGAGAAGGTTCCTCAAAGGAATCTGCCGGAAGGAGGGGATCGAGATGCCAGACAGGCAAATATAAGAGATGTCCACCGCATCCCATGAGTCTCCAAGGGTCAAGGTTGCCACACATGGCCGGACCTGTTCTTAGGTTTGTCTGGTTGCTTCTAGTGGTGGTCAGTTTTTATTAAGTTCCCCATTTCTCACCGCACCTTGATTTGATTGGTCAAATTTCAGGTAGATTGTTGTAGGGCAAACTCCACAGCGTCTCTGTGTGTTTTTAAACTTAATTAACTTTATTGAGATTTTATTAGCTGTTGCTAAGAGTAAATTAGACCATGAAAAGCGATCTAACGACATTTGCCTTGTAGCTGTTTTGTTTTTAATGGTGCCATGACTTAATCCGTATGTCGAAACCAAGGTTACTGGGAGAAATAAGCAATGGGAATTCTTAGAGTATATATTTTTGATTGAAGTAGATTTTATGTATAAGCCAAGGAGAAAGAGTGCGGTATGGAGAAGTATAAGTGGGATGATAGGATCATCATGAAAAAATCATTTCCGGTTTGAACAGATTTCAGAAACTACGTTCTACCCTGGAAGATTTCTACTGGTGGAAGCCGTGCACAATTTTAGACAAAATATAGTACTCTCATCTGTTCTAGTTCTCTGTTCGACTTTGTTCCAGAGGTTAGAAACATCCATTAGAATGATTTTAGCCTAGGCATAAACTTGAGAACCTCCAATATCGAGGCTCTGGAATGAAACCCAGTAACAAACCCAGAATTTGAAAACTCCAGATGTATTTCCAGAGGAGCCCAGGCATGTCTTTGTTTTCTGTTTAAGAGGGTGAGAGCTTTGGTCATTCCTAAGTGTATTCCAAGAAGCGTTTACGTTAGTGGTTCTGTTACAATCACGAGTATGTGAGGAACTTGACCAGTAATAGAACGCAACTTTGCAACCCAGGGAAATACGTGCCAGCAGGTGGGAATGTTGGCCCAGCTGGAGACAGCCGGGATGCCTATCTTCCCTGCTTTCACCCAATGGCCGGAGAGACCTCTCTGAAACATCAACGTGGGTCAGATTGTGGTGCTCTCTTCGTAAAGCTCTCCATTTTACATTTACAGTGTAAGGCAAGTATTACTTATCAGTAGGGAGAGCGGTGTCTCCACCACACGCTGCATTTGGAATAAACCCCCGGTTCTTCATGCCCTGGGGGATCCGAACTTGTTCCATCTCGGACTCCGTGTCTTAGCGTCTTCCGTTCCCCACTCCCTCGCTGACCTCCAGGGCAGCCAGCCTGCCCACCCTGGACCCCTCAGCCTGACCTGCCCTTTCCTGCCTACTTTTTTTTCATCATTCAAGTTTCAGCTCGGAGTCACCTCCTTAAAGAAGACTTCCCCAAGCCCACGAGCTAAGGTGGCCTTCCTTGGTCACTCCCTCTCTCATTACCCTATGTGTACCTTTCTTACCATTCTAATTGAAGCATTCTGGAACCCTTGGGTTGGTTGTCTGCCCCTTCCCCCAGACATGTGCACACGCGTGTAAGCTCCAGGACAGCAGGGACACCACCTGTCTTATTTACTGTTTTATATCCCATGAAATGAACACATGGGGCTCATGGCATGTGATGGTCTCTCACTGTAGCCCTTTGCACCCCACAATTCCTCACTAGTGCTTTGGTCCATTTTCTAGACCTATATTGGGACTCTCCTTGTATCTGTGAATCCGTACCAGGAGCTTGGAATCTACACTATGAGCCAGATGGAACTTTATCAAGGGGTCAATTTCTTTGAACTGCCACCACATGTGTAAGTAGTACCTATGGGGGGTCACCAGTAGTATTTTTTCTCTCTTCCTCTTTTTTCCTTTTCCCTCTCTCCCTCTTTCCTATCCATCCATCCAGCCAGCCAGCCAGCCATCCATCCATATCTTTGATGCATCCTCATTAGGTTCTGGACCTCACTTAAACTCCTGCCTTCTTGATAAATGTCTTTCAACACAATAGAAAGCATCAGATCCTTGTCAAGTCTCAGTTTAAATAGCGCGAGAGGTGGAATCTTTTGTTAACTGTTAAGAGCTCTAAGAGCGTGGCTGGAGAGGGGTCTTTTCTGGGAAGAAGTTTGCTGTAGCGCCATCTACTGGTGTCTGAGTATCATGGCGGCAAAAGGAGCCTCCCGTTAGTAGCGGTCCCGCAGATCCGTAGTTCAAGCAATTTCCTGTCTGATCTATATGTCACTATGGCGCCACTGAATTTCTCAGTTCTCCCTGGTTGACTTCTGGGCTAGTATGTGGGCTGGCTCTCCATTTTTCTTGAGGACTTACCTATTCACCGCCTGTAAGGCCTTTATAAACCTTTCTGAATCACTACCACTAGGGGGATCCAAATTAGCCGGCTTTCAAATTCCGGCCACGTGGGAAACTTATACTCTTGGGAGACTTTCACGCTTTGGTTTCTGATCTTGAAGGTAAAACCCTTGTACCAGCCTCACCTCTTGTCCTATAGATATCACAGAGCTTTTAAGATATTTTTGCTTTCCTGTCTCGGTACTCTTACGACGCTACATCTTGAAGGAAAGAGGAAACTTGGGATCTCGTTATAGCTATTAAGTGTTTATTTAGACAAGATGTTATTTCTACCTGCAGTTAATAGAATGTCTCTTGGGGATATATATAATTTAGTATCTGGCTTATTCTCATATGAAATGTTGATGGGGGCACCTTGGCAGCTCAGTCGGTTGAGTATCTGACTCATGATTTTGGCTCAGGTCGCGATCTCACCTTCACAGGTTCAAGCCCCCATGTCAGGCTTTGCAATGACAGGCTGGAGCCTGCTTGGGATTCTCTCCCTCTCTCTCTGCCGCTCCCTTGCTCACTCGCGGGCGCACGCTCTCTCTCTCAAAATAAACTTTTAAAAAATGTCCATTGTTGCTCAACTTGTCCATTTTGACTCTGTTATCTGAGTTTTGATTTCTGGTACATTTTATCTCCGATCAGTCAATGGGTCCTGGTGAGCGTTTGATATCTGAGCTCAGTGTCCTTGTACCACAGTCTGGATGTGGTTTCCCGGAGGCGGGGTTCTTGGTCCTTCTGCTGTGGTGGGCATTACACACAGCCCCTTCCTGCTCCTTCTCCAGCTACGCCATAGCTGACAACGCTTACCGCATGATGTGCTCTGAGCTAACTAACCACTTCATCCTCATTTCTGGAGAGAGCGGGGCAGGGAAAACGGAGGCCTCCAAGAAGATTCTCCAGTATTTTGCCGTGACCTGCCCAATGACCGAGTCACTACAAATAGCCCGTGACAGACTGCTGCTCTCCAATCCAGTGTTGGAGGTAAGTGATCTTTGAGGACCTGTGGAGGGGAGTTCTAGGGAGGTCAATTAAGTAAGAAGAATCTTCTGCCGGTGCAGAACAGTCCAAATGGGCAGGTCGCCGTCTGGGAGTTAAGCAGAAAGGTCTCAAGGGAAATATTGTGCTTAAGGGCATAACCTTGAGGTCCGGCAAGCATGGACGCTAATCCCAGGGCAGCCACGCCTCAGCAAGCTTTAGCAAACCACTGCATATCCCAGATTCTGTTTCCCTATCTGTGGAATGGGTCTACTCATAGTTCCCACCTCCTAGGGGTTTCTGAGGATAAAACCAAGTGAATGCATAAAAAGCACACAGCAGAATTAGTAAGCACTAAAGTCGTGCTCTCTTATTAATATCTTTCTTATTTAATTGAAATTATTTGGATGATTATTGCAATTCACTGACTTGCTGTTTGATTTTGAACAAGCGGGCGCCTGGGTGGCGCAGTCAGTTAAGCGTCCGACTTCAGCCAGGTCACGATCTCGCGGTCCGTGAGTTCGAGCCCCGCGTCGGGCTCTGGGCTGATGGCCCAGAGCCTGGAGCCTGTTTCCGATTCTTTGTCTCCCTCTCTCTCTGCCCCTCCCCCATTCATGCTCTGTCTCTCTCTGTCCCAAAAATAAAAAAAAAAAAAAAAAACAACGTTGATTTTGAACAAGCAATTCTTAGTTTTTGTCGCCCTTCATGTTAAAGGTATTTGTGGTTGAAGGAATTTTCCCCATAGACCTATGGGCTGAACAGTTTACCTCTTTGATAGAAAAGAAGGTCTGGTAATGGGGACCATGAACTCTGTCTTCTAGAACAGCAGGGGCCTAGGGGCCTCTATAGCTCTCCCTCGTCAGTCCTAGATTGGATGCTAGAGAGATCTTTTTGTCCTTTCCTCTCGCTCTATCCTCAATATTTGGCATCAAATTCTCTGTCCTTCGTGGTTCCTTCTTAGAAGATAAAGTATGGCTTTAATCCCTGGCTCCCCCTCCCTCCCCCAGTTTCATAATCATGGCGTCTGATGAGCTTGGTGAGCTTAAAAGACCAGGCATGACAGTTTGGTTCAGCCTGTCCCTGTCTCCCTCGATTTGTATTGCAAGGCTTTTGGAAATGCCAAAACACTCCGGAATGACAACTCCAGCAGATTTGGAAAATACATGGACATCCAGTTTGACTATAAGGTACACTGAAGTTCCTATTACTGATTCATGGGGACCCCTTAGCCTGCCAGTGACAGAAATCCGACCCGAGGTTCCTTAAGGGAGAAAGGGCTCTATTGGCTCAAATAATTAACAACTCCAGGATCAGTGCCATTTTGGGAAATGCAAACAAAGACCGCAATGAGATATACCATATACTTTCTGGGTGAGCAAAAATTAAGAAGTCTGATCACACCAGCTATTGGTGAAGATGTGGATAATTAGGAACTTTTCCACATTGCCGGTGGGGCTCACTGGTGCGACCCACTTGGAAAACAACATTATTATCTTGTGAAGTTGAAATCACATCATCTAAGGTGGAGCCATTCCACTCTTGGAGATTGGCAAGCCTGCCCCCAAGAGCCCTGCTCATGATGGTAAAAAGGTCTGGAAACAGTCAACGCATCTGGAGAGGGCTGAGTGTCCATCAACAGGAGAATGGTTAAATGGTGGGATGTTCACCCAATGAACTGTCACGTAACTGCAAGAGCAAATGAATGAAGCTACACGTAACATGGTCAAGTCTTAGGAAAGTCTGACGTGTCAGCCATTTCTTATAAAGCTTGAGAATAACCACATGGAAACGATGTACTGTGTGGGCGCATAATTATATGGCATGGGTTGGCAAATGTTTTTTGGATAGGGCCAGATAGTCAATATTTCAGACTCTGTGGACCATAGGGTTTCCGTCACAACCACTCAGCTCTGCTGCTGTGGCATGGAGGCAACCGGAGACAGTGTATGATGAGTATTGTTGTATGTTCACAGAATTTAAATGGGGCCCGTGCAAGGGGGAAGGGTCGACAGAGTTCTCAAGGACGTAGAACTCCAGGGGACAAACTATCCCTTAGACTGGAGGACAGTTGTTGCTTGAGGGTTGAGTGTAGTGATAACAGACTGGCTCAGGGTTTTCCAGAAGCCGGTACATGGCCTTCTGGTGAAGTGCGCCCAGACTTTGAAAAAAAAAAAAAAAATTGAATAGTTGTGTCTGTTTTTAAACTCCTTATTGAAATTCAACACATCTGAAAAGGAAGCAAGGCATGAGTCCAGTTTAATGAATTTTTACCTATCTGCCTGTGACAACTGGCACTCAGATCAAGATGTAACAATTTCTAGCGCCTAGAAGATTGTCCTACCCTTCTCTGACAGTATCTGCCCTCCCAACTGTTACCAACTGTTCTTCCCTCTATAATCAGACTAATTTTGTGGGTTCTTGGGCCTCATGTATAGGAATTATATGTCCTCTTTTTTGTCTGGCTCCCTTTAATCAACACTCTGTCAGATTCATTAATGTCGCTCCATGTGGCAGTTGGTCATTTTTTGCTTATGTGACCTCATCATGATTTTTCTGTTCTCCTATTGATGGACAGTTGGGTTTCCAGTTTGGGGCTGTTGCAGATAGCGCTCTGAACATCCTTGCAACATGTCTTGGAGTAGATATTTGCATCCACTTATGTTGGGCACATACCCAGAGGTGACATTGTTGGGTTCTTACCAGGAATGTTATGATAATTAACGATGGGTCCAGTTAACCAGTAGGTTCTCTGCACCCTTGAAAGCATCTGGTATCATCAGTCCTTTTAGGTTTGAGATGTTCTGGTGGAGTAGAGTGGTTTCCCAGTGTGATTTATGTTTGTATCTCCCTGATGATTAGTGAAGTCTTGATAACTGGCCAGTTAAAAAGTTTGTGTTAAAGCCTTTTGCCCACTTTTAATTAGGCTGTTTTTCTCATGTTGATTTGCAGGAGTTCTATATATGTTCTGGAACCCAAATCCCTTACTGGATATATTCTTAAAAACAAAACAGTGTGATACACAAAGATACGTAAACAGGCCAGTAGACGGGAGTGGAGTCTACAAAGGCCTCCACATGTGATATGATTGCCTGACTTATGACCAAAGCACCACTGTGATCCAATAGGGAAACAATTGCCTTCCCAATAAATGGTGCTGATCAATCTGAAATCCATGTGACTAAAAAGACCTTTGACCCTCTACCTCACTCCATACCCAAGAATTCAGTAGTGATCAACCACAGTCCTAAATGCGATTGGTAAAATGCTCACGCTTCTAGACAGAAGCATAGAAAATCCTTCTCATGACCTCAGGGTAGGCAAAAATATTTGTGAACAGAGCCCAGAAAACACTAAGCATAGAAGAAGAATCATTTGAATTCAGAATTTCTGTTCCTCAGAAGACACCAGTAAGAAGGCGGCTCAGTTCTCGTCATTGGGCATTTTTTGTTCTGTTCTGAAGGGCATTCCCGTAGGCGGGCATATCATCAGTTACCTGATAGAAAAGTCTCGAGTCGTCTATCAAAACCAGGGCGAGAGGAACTTCCACATCTTCTACCAGCTGCTGGAGGGAGGCGAAGAGGAACTCCTTGCTTACCTTGGACTTGAGCGGGACCCCCAGCTGTATAAATACCTCTCACAGGTCAGAAGGACCAGTACCTGGCTGGGACGCCCTTTGGTGGCAGGGATGAAGGGCGTTACTGGGGGCTTCTATGGGATGGCCAAGAACTTTCTCATTACCATTCTGGAGATATCCTATGGACTGGTTTCTTGCCACTTATCATAACCCCTTTGTCTATGCCTGACAGATAGATGATCTTGGTAAAGTAACCAATCTCTAGGTGAGTGGTTCTCAGCCCTGGCTGATATTAGAATCACCTGAGGGGATTTGTCAACACACACACACACACACACACACACACACACACACACATACACATGCACACACAATCTAAAGATTCCAATCTAATTGGTCTGATATGGGACCTGGACATCAAGGCTGTGTTAAACACTCCCCTGTGATTCTGGATAATTAAGTGAATCCCCGGTGATTCCAATACACAGCAGAAGTGAGAACTACCGGTCTGGGTGTGATAGTAACTCGCTGCCCGTCCGTGTCCACAACTTGTGCTGCTCCCTTCTGCTTCCCAGAACTAGTTTGGAAAAGACTCCCCACCTTGCCTCCCAGTCTGAGGGTTGTTAATTGCAAAATGAATGGACTTCCTTACAGAGAGAGTTTGGGCCATTCCCGGAAGCAACCCTGGGACCCAGTGTTGAAAGATGGACTTGGAGAATTTGACTCCCACCATTAGTTTTTCTGCAGCCAGGACTAGGGTTCTAGAAGGCCCAGATTGTATAGGATCTATCACTATTTGATGTCACTGGCACCTTTTATGCCCCAAGATTTTCGGATTTTTCTCTTCTTTGCTGGGTCTGGCTTTGAATGGAGGCTGCTTGGCAGAGTGCACGTGGGGCCATCATTTGAGAAAGAGAACGAGGTCTTCGGAAGTGAATCTTGTAAGAGAAAGACCAGCACTTCATAGTCCTGGTGAAAGAGTAGACATGACCGAAATGCATCTTGAAAAATGAGGCTAAATGATGAAAATGAAAGAATCCCAATCTCCTTTTGCAAATTTCGTACTAATTGTGAGAATGAAGACTAATTCGGATGTGATAAATATATATATATATATTTTTCCTTTTTGAGAACAAAATTCTCCCCATAAAGCTGTATGGTAGCCTCACATCTGGCTTCTCACGGCATAAACAGAGAGGGTCAATTTATAAAAATATTTTAGACCTTGAATCCTTTTCCCAAGGGCTTCTCCTAACCCTTTGATAATTCAAATCATTCCCTTTTGGAATGTAGCTTGTCTTTTATCTTTGCAGATTTTTTTTTTCCTGGCCAGATCTTCAGACCATTCGCCAGTGTTATTTTGTTCAATTTTGTGTTGCCCCATAACTTGGACAAACGTAGTGGCTTTACTCGCAGTATATCCGCGCTGCTTCCAAACCTCTAGGTGCCCTGGAAGGACTGACTTAAGCTGGCCCCGCCCTTGGTGGGGCAGGAGCAGATGCCGTTGGTCGAACCGGGAGGGATATTTGGGGGGTTGCAGATTTAACACTGGCCAGTTCACGGGTGGATCTTTTCATGACCCAGCACCTCCGGTTTCCCCCAGGCAACAAGGAAATCTGTTTAACGTGACGAATCTTCAGATAGCCAGGAATCTAGGAACACCTTGTCCTACAAAAGCAAAAGAGACAGACATAAACAAAACAAAACAGAAACCTCGTCCAGAATGTCTTCCCTTTAAATTGTGACATTCGGTGGTGTGTGTCTTCTTTAGAAGACAACTTCTAGAGAATCAGTGGGAAGTCTCATCACCTCTCTGCTGGTGATTGTATCCATATCACCTTCATTTCTCTAAATGCCAAACTCTTCTTGAATGAGTGTCTCCTACCTCGTCCCTCATGGCAGTTTCTGCTGGAGGTTGTGATTGCGTCGAGATTGTTATCTGAATTCCAGGGCTTGTCCTCTCCCTGCATTTTTTAGCAGGTGTTTACTGAGACAAACGTCTTCAGTTTACTTGGCAAATAAGACCAGGAAAACAACAACAACAAAAAATACTTGAAGAGATATACCACTAATGTGTACCTTTGAAAGTTTTCCCGGGACAGAGATTCCAAATAAATTTGAAAAAGGCAACAGCCGGCAAATCATGCTGTGCTAGACGATGAGATAAAACCTGGCTTTTTCTAATCAGAACATTCTAGAACTAGCTCTTGTGTGTTTGGAGAGAAAACCACTTTGATTCAAGAATAGGTGTGGGCGTGTCTAACTGTCCTTGTGGAAATGACGCGAAGCAACCCGATTCTGTGTTAACAGGGTCATTGTGCCAAAGAGTCGTCTATTAATGACAAGAACGACTGGAAAACTGTTTCCAGTGCCTTTTCTGTCATCGATTTTACTGAAGATGACCTCGAGGTATGAGCCCTGTGGTCACAGCTGCCGGTATGGTCTGGGATTGACGAAACAATCCTGGTATCTTGGTGACCGCCCAGTAGGGTTGCCAGACTCAGCAAATAAAAATACAGGATGCTTAGTTACATGTGAATTTCAGATAAGCTTGTCCCAATGAGATAAACGTCTACGAGAAACTTAGTCCTTGCTTATCTGGGATTGAAATGTTACCTGGGCGTTCTGCATTTCATCAGACCTAAGATTTCCCAATGAGGTGAGCAAGGAGGAGATTTTGTTTCTTCTTCCTCTCACATCCAATCTCAAATATATTCTTAATAATTTTTATTTATTTTTGAGAGACGGGGGTGGGGGGGTGGGGGATGGACAGAGGATCCGAAGCAGGATCTGTGCTGACAGTGGATAGCCCAGCTCAGACTCTGAACTGTGAGATCATGACCTGAGCTGAAGTCAGACGCTCAACCACTTAAGCCACCCAGATGCCCCAAAATCAAATCTCAGATATTTACATGCTCCGGATCTACAGCATTACTGTTTACTTACACTTCTATTTTTGAACAAACTGGAGAAGATTGTAGGATATATGAACATTCTGTTTTTACATCTTTTTCTGTTTTCCTTTTTGATGGTTAAAACTCTTGCTCTTTCAAGGACTAGAATTATACTTTAAAATATATTTAGGGGCACCTGGGTGGCTCAGTCGGTTGAGCGTCCGACTTTGGCTCAGGTCGTGATCTCACAGTTCGTGGGTTCAAGCCCCACATGGGGCTCGCTGCTGTCGGCCCGGAGCCGGCTTTGGATCCGCCGTCTCCCTCTCTCTCTGCCCCTCGCCTGGTTGCACCCTCTCAAAAATAAATAATACATTAAAAAATAATATATTATACATTGATATTATATCTATCTATATGTATCTGGGATCATGCTATTTGCATATGAAATGGTCTGTTGGCGGGAAGGGGATGGGGAGGATCCAGAAATAGAAGTGTCCTGTGCTGGAGATGGAAGGAGGTATCCTCCTTCCCTTAACATCTGAGGTGGGTAAGAAGCTGATGCCTGGGGCGGGGGAAACTTGGCTCCGTGAGCTCTGAGCTCGGGCTGGAATTGGGAAGGGGCGGTTTTCCTTGGCTGCCTCCCGTGATGACGTTCATCAGCTGGGCGGCCGCCCCTCTCTCCCTGTTCTCCTCACCCTTTCCCACATTCCTAGAATCTCTTTGGAATTCTTGCCAGCGTCCTACACCTGGGGAACGTTTGTTTTGAAGAGAACCACCAAGGCTGTGCCACGATCCCAGACACGCACGAGATCAAATGGATCGCCAAGGTGACGTTCGGCTTCTGAAAAGCACGGGGAGGGCCCGGCCCTTTCGGAGGCGGAGGGCCGGAGAGGGGAGCTGAAGGCAGCTGGAGGCCCAGGTCCCACGCGGCCAACACCGTGGCCTTCCGGCTGATACTGGCTAGGAGATTTAAAGAGCGAGGGGGGCAGGTGAGGGAGTGGGTAAAAGCCAGCTGAGTGTAAAATCGGGATGTGGTCTCTCTCGCATTTCGGTGGGATTATCCGTCAGGGTGTATAATCCTGGGCCTGGAAATGGCACCAACTCCTTGCAAATTGGCAAAAAGCAAATCTGATCGCTGAATGGCATTTTGGTTTCCATGTTTTCAGCTCCTGGGGGTCCACCCATCCATCCTTCTGGAAGCTCTCACCCATAGAAAGATTGAAGCCAAAACTGAAGAGGTAAAAATGACACTAGATGGAAATGTGCCTGCCCTCCCCGCTCTTGCCTGCCTCATGGAAGAGCAGGACGATGGTCCTAGAGGAGGCCGGGGTCCCGCCTTCCAGCTCCTGCAGGAGTCTCCTGCCTCACCCTCCCCGTCCCCACCACTGCACCATCACTAGCTTTCCATGCCTCCCCTCTTGCCATGCCTTTCCCCCGTGAGGTCTTTGCACATGCCGTTCCCTCTACTGGAACACTGTTCCCTGTGCTTCTCTAATTAATGCCTTCTCATCCTTCAGTTCCTGGGGTCACACCCTCAAAGGGTCTCCCTGACCATCACACCCCTATCCTTATGCACCATCGGTGTCTCCTCATACTGCTCTCAGCTTGCAACATGACGGTGTGTGGGGCGTGAATGTCCCGTCCCCCAACTGTGAACCCACAGAATTTGTCTCAGTCATGGCTGTACCTCAGCAGCTCCACGCAGTGCCCAACACGTCGTAAGCACTCAAGAAATAGCTACTGCCTGAACGTGTACAGGTGGGGGCGGTGTCTTCCCCCAGCACATATCCCTTGCTGGCTGCTATTAAAGGCTAATTTGGAAACTCGGGAGGAAGTGGGCTTTTTTTTTTTTTTTTAACTTCTGTAATGATGCACCTGTTGTTGTCCTCAGGTAATATGCCCACTGACTCTGGAACTCTCTGTCTACGCTAGAGACGCAATGGCAAAGGCCATTTATGGACGAACATTTACTTGGCTAGTCAACAAAATCAATTCCTCCTTAGAGAACAAGGTTAGTCCAAACATGTTTGACTGACTCACTCTCGCTAACGTGGTAATGTTTTATAACCGACCTCGTCACTCTGAAGAATTTGTGAGCATTGACTGTTGGCCCCTGGTGCCCAGGGACGGTATCGTTCCGCGTCTCCATTCCCGGCACACAGTAGGCTCACAAAAAAATGCCCGCTGAGTGATTTTTGGAGTGTGTCCCGAAGTGTGGGATGCACAGTATTTGAAGTACGCCAGATGGCCTTCAGTGTCCACAGAATTTAGCTTTAACAGTGAGCATCATTTAATGTGCATAAGAAAAAATATGCATAACAAGTCCTTCAAATTCACCCTGGGAGTTTCCTCCAAGCTAGAAATTAAGGAAATGATCCTGAGGCACAGAGTATGTAGATGTAAAATTCAAGGAGATAGTACGTAAAGGACAGATTTGGAAGGCATCAGCTCAGGACGCCATACGGAATGCTAAATTGTGGCCCTTTGGAAAAAAATAGGCATTTTCTCTTTAAATATCCATCTTTGGGGCGCCTGGGTGGCTCAGTCGGTTGGGCGTCCGACTTCAACTCAGGTCACGATCTCGCCGTCCGTGAGTTCGAGCCCTGTGTCGGGCTCGGAGCCTGGAGCCTGCTTCGGATTCTGTGTCTCCCTCCCTCTCTGCCCCTCCCCCATTCGTGCTCTGTCTCTCTGTGTCTCAAAATTAAATAAACGTTTAAAAAAAATAAAAATAAATATCCATCTTTGCACCTGGTCCTCCCTTTTTTTTTTTTAATTTTTTTAATGTTTATTTTTGAGAGAGAGAGAGACAGAGCATGAGTGCGGGAGAGGCAGAGAGAGGGAGGACACAGAATCGGAAGCAGGCTCCAGGCTTGGAGCCGTCCGCACGGAGCCCGACGTGGGGCTCGAACTCGTGAACTGTGAGATCATGACCTGAGCCGAAGTCGAATGCTTAACCGACTGAGCCGCCCAAGTGTCCCCATCCTCTGTTTAAAATGACATTTGTATCACCTGTCCTCTCTCCTGGATCGACATCTCCTTTGCTGCTGTCTATAGAGGTCTCTTGCTTTCTTTGGGATTGATGTGGGCTTGGGAGGCTGAGAAGGGCTGAAGGAAGTGAGTGAACCAGAAGGGGAAGGTCTCACTTCTCGGGTGGTGGCTGGGGAAGCTTCAGTGGGATCCCGACGGGCTGCCGGCCAGAGGAGCAGGCTGGGAAATTTGTTTCCACCCTATAATTTCTCTGTGAGCCAATGTTGGAGAGAGAGAAGGTGTGAGCTTTATAACCAAGTCCCAGCTTTGAGGGCAGCTACCGGGTTTGAAGAGTCATTAACTAAAAGACCTCACAATGAATAGTGTGTGTTGCTTTGACTAGGATTTCACCAAGAAGACTGTGATTGGATTGCTGGATATCTATGGGTTTGAGGTCTTCGACAAGAATGGGTAAGTTTGTCATTACCTCCTGGTCCTCTGTCCGTCTGGTCTGAGGCATCTCTAATGTTGCTGGAACCGGGTTTCCCATCTTTAGAAATTCTCGGGATTTCCATAGCCACTAACTCATAGACTGTTCCAGAGTTGAAATGACCATTAAAAAAGGCAAACGTCTTGGGGCGCCTGGGTGGCTCAGTCGGTCAAGTGTTCGACTTGGGCTCAGGTCACGATCTCACAGTTTGTGAGTTGGAGCCCCACATTGGGGTCTGTGCGGACAGCTCAGAGCCCAGAGCCTGCTTCGGATTCTGTGTCTCGTTCTTTCTCTGTCCCTCCCCCACTTTTGCTCTGTCTCTCTCTGTCTCTCAAAAGTAAATAAATGTAAAAGAAAAACGCAAACATCTTTTAACTTGATTCTTGGGATCTATTTAGTAAATTGTGTAATTAATAAGGACTTTGCTTTTTCTGTATTAAAAAGCATCTTTAAAAAAGAAGTAAATACAGGGGTGCCTGGGTGGCTCAGTCAGTGAAGCGTTGACTATTGATTTCGGCTCGGGTCATGATCTCACAATTTCGTGAGTTTGAGCCCCGCATCGGGCTCCGTGCTGACAGTGCAGAGCCTGCTTGGAATTCTCTCTCTCCCTCTCTCTCTGCCCCTCCCCCACTTCCGCACTCTCTCTCTCTCTCAAAATAAGCGTTAAAAAGAAATAAAAATAAGCAAATACAGTTTTTTAATTGGTCTACTCGTGTAGCTTTAGCTCTTTAAATTTTTGGCCTCTCCAGTTTCGAACAGTTCTGCATCAATTACTGCAATGAGAAACTCCAGCAACTGTTAATTGAGAGAACCCTTAAGGCGGAACAGGCAGAATACGAAATGGAAGGCATAGAGGTAAACGTCTTAATGTTTTCTTCTCACTTGATTTCTTAATCTAGCGAAAGAGATTTGCTTGAGAAAGGATATTTCCCTGGAGATTTTGGCCTCCCTAGTACTAAGAATTATTTTTTTCTCTCCTGCTCTACTTATTTTCTGGGAAATTACTTTGACATTCGGGTAGTTTCTTTTCTTTTCTTTTTTTTTTTTAATGTTTGAGATTAAAAAAATCAGATTTTGGAAAAATAACGTTGGAAAATCATTTTATTTTTTTTATTTTATTTATTTATTTTTTCAACGTTTATTTATTTTTGGAACAGAGAGAGACAGAGCATGAACGGGGGAGGGGCAGAGAGAGAGGGAGACACAGAATCGGAAACAGGCTCCAGGCTCTGAGCCATCAGCCCAGAGCCTGACGCGGGGCTCGAACTCACGGACCGCAAGATCGTGACCTGGCTGAAGTCGGACGCTTAACCGACTGCGCCACCCAGGCGCCCCGGAAAATCATTTTAAAAAGAGATCTGTTTTATGTTCACCTAAATCCCCCTCGGAGAATTCTTTTCTCTTTGTCATTTCAGTGGGAGCCCATTCAGTATTTCAACAACAAGATCATCTGTGATTTGGTGGACGAGAGACACAAAGGGATCATTTCCATTCTGGTGAGAAAATTAATGTTGACTTAGAGTCCATTCATACGGTGTCGCCAACACGCGGAAGTTTTCCCCCAGGCTTGAAAAGGGTTGCTTAGCCCAAGCAGAAAGCCAGAAAACATAAAGGAAGGTTTTACAAAGAATGTGCGCTGATCCAGAGTTGAGACTCCTTGGGATGCACCCATGGCTTTATCTTGACCTGTTGGAACTTCTGAGAACATCCATGCCCAATTGTTCCAGTTCAAACATCGCTTTTTTCAGCACGTTTATTTATTTTTGAGAGAAACAGAGTGGGAGCGAGGGAGGGGCAGGGAGAGAGGGAGACACAGAACCTGAAGCAGGCTTCAGGCTCCCAGCCATCACCCCGGCGCAGGCTCGAACCCATAACCCACGAACCGCGATATCATGACCTGAGCCAAAGTCGGATGCTTAACCGTCTGAGCCACCCAAGACGCCCCCAAACATCACTTTTTAAAATCTAAAGCCAATGAGAAAGTATTTCTTTGCCTTTTCATTTGGGATCTTCTCCCTTATAACGAAAATAACTGGTCTCCTCTCTCCTGCCTGCCGCCCGCCCCCACCTAACTGTTGGGTGAACAAGATTCTAAAGCACAGCCGTGACTACAGATGGTGTCTATCGTTGCCAGGAACATGGGCACCCCCTGGATTCAGATGCCCGCCCCATTGCTTGCTAGCTTGTAACCTTGGGTGGGTGTCTTACCCTCTCTGAGCTCCCATCTCCTTGTCTTAAATGGATGCAGTGAATAGCAGCACTTATCTCGAGGAATTGTAAGGACAGGCTGAGATTGTACATGCACAGGGCTTAGAATTATGCCGGGGTGTGGTAAGCATTCAGACTCTCTTCATTCAACAAATGCTTACCGAATGCTTCCTTGGTGCCGTGACTGTGCCCTGTGCTGTGGGACACAGGCAGTGGACAAAACAGACCAAAACCACTACATTCATGAAGCTTTCAATTCTAGCGCAGAGAGACTGACAACAGACAGTTTTGTGGGCAACATAAGTAGGTTTTACAATGAAAAAAGCTCAAAAGATGAGATGCGCCGGGAAGGATGACTCAATTTCAGGCGAGATGGTCTGGGAAGGGCCGTGTGGACATCCGGGGAGGCAAGTTCCGGGAGGCACAGGCTGACATAAGCTCTTCTCTGGGCTCTCAATGCTCATATTGATGGCTAGACCAGCATAGACATGTCTCTTCGAAAGAGATGTCTCACTCACCTGAAGCCTGGTGTTCTCTTGTCGTTTTAACAAAAGCTGCAGGGTTGATTTTAAAGATGGTCACTCGCATGTTGCCAGTGTTAAGGGCCCAAAACAGGAAGTAGAAAGACACAGCCGGAGAGACTTGAGAAGTTAGATGCCCGGGGCTTTATAGCTTTCTCTCCATGAGGTTTTTGCTCCTGATAAAAGGGGATGTGGTCTTGGCCAGCAGTGGCTGGTTAAGAGAAACTGAGGTGGTGTTCAAGAAGACTTTGGAAATATGGTGGTCGGATGGGTGGGCGAGGTGACTTTTCACAGAATTTCAGACCCCTCTGAGAAGCTAAGCACGCGTGAGGGGTCACTGCCCTCGCGCCCCCAAGGTTCACCTGAACTTGGGTTGAGGTGACAGCGTTTTAGTCCACTACCTTTGGCCACAGCTGGCGAAGGCATTTCAACTTGGAATCGATGGCATAAGATGCTACGGATCGAGGCTTCTCTTTTTTCTCTGGAAGGATGAAGAATGTATCCGTCCCGGTCCCGCTACGGACTTGAGTTTCCTGGAGAAACTGGAAGAGAAAGTAGGCCAGCATGCACACTTCCAGACGTATGTATCTCGCTCGACAAGCTGTTGCTTGGGGAAGCTCGTCACTTACCCACTTTCTTGGGTATGTGGGCAGTGGACCCCAAGAGTAAAGGTGCTTCTTCTTGCACAGAAACGTGATGCACCATGATGATATACCGACTCCTATATATGTGTACCTTTTGTTAGTAGAAATCAAACCCGAATTCCAGGTAGAATGTTCTAAGATTTTGTATCTTTTTTTTTTTTAACGTTTATTTTTGAGAGTGAGAGAGAGCACAGTGGAGGAGGGGCAGAGAGAGAGGGAGACACAGAGCCTGAAGCAGGCTCCAGGGTCCAAGCTGTCAGCACAGAGCCCAACGCGGGGCCCAAACTCATGAACCATGAGATCATGACCTGAGCCGAAGTCAGACACTTCATGGACTGAGCCACCCGGGCGCCCCTAAGATTTTGTATCTTTATGATCATGACCTTGTGGACAGGGTCACAGGTGTGAAATAGGCTTCTTTTGGAAAGTCTTTTTTTTTTTTAATGTTTATTTTGAGAGAGAGAGAGAGAGTGCAAGCAGGGGAGGGACAGAGAGAGAGGGAGAGAGCCAACTAGGCTCAGTGCAGTCAGCGCAGAAGCCAACACGGGGCTTGATCTCATGAACTGTGAGATCATGACCGGAGCTGAAATCAAGAGTCAGACACTTAATGGACTGAGCCACCCAGGAACCCCAGAAATAGTCTTTTTTTTTTTTTAAGTTACGTATCAGATATAAAGTACACACAGAGCTATGTGTGGATCTGAAGCGTACGACCCAACGAATCTTCACATTCGTGTGTACTCACATCAGTGCCACGTAGATCCAGAGAATGAGGGTCTACAGCATCCAAGAAAATTGACTAGAATCGCAGCTCGGCCACTTATAAGACACGTGACCTATTAATATACCTGGTGCGGAGCATGGTAAGTGGCTCCGTAAGTCACCTAGTGTAATTTCTGGCCGTGGCAAAGACCGGGTAAATGGTAGTGGCTTTATCAGAGCTTTTGTAGAATATTGAAAGGCTAAGGAAATGAATCAAAAATGGAAAACTGAAGGGCACCTGGGTGGCTCAGTCAGTTAAATGTCTGACTTCAGCTCAGGTCACGATCTCATGGTTCATGAGTTAAAGCCCCGCATCAGGCTTGGGAATTCTCTCTCTCTCTCTCTCTCTCTCTCTCTCTCTCTCTCTCTCAAAATAAATACACTTTTTAAAATCTTTAAAAAAATGGAAAATTGAATTGCAGCATATTCACAAATGGCATAATACATAGCCACGAGAATGAACAATCCATAACCACATGCAGTGATGTGGATAAATCACAGAACATATAAGCAGGAGGAATCAGACCCACAGGGGCACCTGGGTGGCTCAGTCAGTTAAGCATCTGTCAGCACAGAGCCCGCTTCGGATCCTCTGTCCCTCTCTCTGCTCCTCCTCCATTCATGCTGTGTCTCTCTCTCTCAGAAATAACCATTTAAGCAATTTTTTTTAAAAAAGAGGAATCAGACACAAAAGGGTACATACGATACAATTAGGTTTCTATAAAGTATAAAACCAGATAAAAACCAACGTGTTGCGTTAGGTGTCAGGTCAGAACTGGAAAGGGCTCAAGGTGGGGGGGGTAGGTGGTTCTCCAGGAACCAGTAACGTTCTGTTTCTTGATCTGGTTGCCGGTTACCTGGGTGTTCGTTGTGCCAAAGTGCACTGAACCATACACTTAGGGTATCTGCGTTGTCAATATATATGTTATGTACATTTCAAGAAAGGCTACAAAAAAATTAGCCATCACCAGAATCTGAAAAATGATGTTTTATGAGCATTTTAGTCACTTACCATCATAAAAATGTAGTAAATTGGTTCTTAGTTATCATCTGGAAAAAGTAGAAGTTTTTTCATTGTACAAATCAGTGTGTCTTCTGTGGCTCACGTGTGTTTTTTAATTCCTCCGTTCTCAGGGGAAGGATCACATTTTAAGTCTTTGTTTCAATTCCAGTTAGTTAACATACAGTGTTATGTCAGTTTCAGGGGTGGAGTACAGTGACTCAGCACTTCCATTCCTCACCCCGTGCTCATCACAAGTGAAGTCCTCAGTCCCCATCGCCTATTTCCCCCATGTCCCCACCCTGGTCCGTTCTGGTAACCATCAGTTTGTTCTCTACAGTTAAGAGTTTGTTTCTTGCTTTGTCTCTCCCCCCACCCCCCGCCTTTGTTCATTTGTTTCTTAAATTCCACATATGAAAGAGATCACACGGTATTTGTCTTTCTCTGACTGACTTTTACTTAGCCATTATATTCTCCAGGTCCATCCATGGCGTTGCAAATGGCAAGATTTCATTCTGTTTTGTGGCTGGGTAATATTCCATTGTGTTTATATGCCATATCTTCTTTATCCATTCACCAATCGGTGGACACTTGGGCTGCTTCCATAATTTGACTGTTGTAAATAATGCTGCTATAAACATAGGGCTGCATGTATCCCTTTGACTTAGTGTTTTTGTATTCTTTGGGTAAATACCTCGTGGTACAGTTGCTGGATTGTAGGGTAGCTCTGTTTGAACTTTTGGAGGAACCTCCCTGGTCCTGCCCACAGTGGCCGCACCACTTTGCGTCCCACCAGCTGTGCAAGTGGGTTACCCTTTCTCCAGGCTTCTCTTTCGCTCTTTGCTTTCTATGTTGGTGCGTGTTGTTACAGCAAACTAGGAAAGTTCAGTTCGTGCCTCGTTCTCTCTTGCTGCAGCCGGAAGCTGGCGGGGCCAAAGGGCCGAAAGAGGATTGGCTGGATGGAGTTTCGGCTCTCTCACTACGCAGGAGAGGTCACGTACTGCACCAAAGGTGAGTGTGCGTGGGGCATAGGTCACGGTCACGCAGGTGTCCCTGTGTCCGCCGAAGAAACAGCTGCACGTCTATCCCAAACATTCCCTAGCTCTGCTGGCAAGCAAGCCGTTTGAAGTTTTCTCTTTATTACTTTTTTGTCGAACCACTTCATTTCACCCATTTAAAGTGTACCCTCCGGTAAGTTTTACTCTGTTCACTTTATAGTTATGCACCCGTCACCGCTGTGCATTTTAGAACGCTTCGCCCCAGGGGCGCCTGGCGTGGCTCAGTCAATGAAGCAGGCAACTCTTGGCCTCGGCTCTGGTCGTGATCTCGCGGTTTGTGGGTTCGAGTCCCAGGTCAGGCTCCGCGCTGATGGCACAGAGCCTGCTTGGGATTCTCCCTCTTTCTCTCTGCCCCTCTCCTGCTACCGTGCTCTCTCTCTCTCTCTCTCTCAAAATAAATAAATATTTAACAAAAAAAGAACACTTCATCCCAAAAAGAAACCCTGTTTGCATTAGCAACTATTTCCTATTTTCCCCATCCCCATCCCCCACAGCTGTGAACTAATCTGTTTTCTGTCTCTGCAAATTTGCCTGTTCTGGGTATTTCATCTAAATGGAATCACACAATGTGTGGTCTTCTGTGTCTGGCTTCTTTCCCTTAGCATCTTGTTTTCAAGGTTCATCTGTGTTACCATTTTTATTGCTAAATAATATTCCATTCTATGGATATACCCTGTTTTGTTTATCCATTCATCATTTGACAGGCATTTGGGTTGTTTGCTTTTGAGCTCTTACTAATAAGGTTCCTATGAACATTGTCTTTCAAAACCTTTAAAAAATATTTTCTTTTGTCATTTCTGCTTTAGGTTCTAAATTATTTTCCCTTTTTTTTTCTTTTTACCGTTCTTTTTTTAAGGTAGGCTCCACACCCAACGTGGGGCTTGAACTCACAACCCCAAGATCAAGAGTCACATGCTCCATTGACTGAGCAAGCCAGGCGCCCCTAAATTATTTTCACTTTTAAATCAGTTTCTCTAAGAATATTTAAAAAGCAATATGTAGGGGCGCCTGGGTGGCGCAGTCGGTTAAGCGTCCGACTTCAGCCAGGTCACGATCTCGCGGCCCGTGAGTTCGAGCCCCGCGTAGGGCTCTGGGCTGATGGCTCAGAGCCTGGAGCCTGTTTCGGATTCTGTGTCTCCCTCTCTCTCTGCCCCTCCCCCGTTCATGCTCTGTCTCTCTCTGTCCCAAAAATAAATAAACGTTGAAAAAAAAATTTTAAAAAAATCAATAAATAAATAAATAATAAAAAGCAATATGTATTTTTTCTCTTGAATTCAGAGTGGTATAAAAACAGAAAACATTTTCAAATGGAATGAATCTCTCTTTGTGGATAATTGATTGACTGTCATCAATCAATGATATACACGTAACGCAAGAAGTTCCTAACGGTACGGAAAAGCCCAAAAAAGGAAACTAAAAGTCCCCTTTACTCCTAGTTTCTCCCACAGGAACCAACAGTTTCTTGTAATTTCTTTCAGGAAAATAGAAATATCTTCTGCATCTACTTAAATATGTGGGGACACATATACATATTCAAATAACACGTATATGCACACGCATTTAAGTAACACAGATTGTTATTCTGTGTTCTCTATTTTGCATTTTTTTTTTCATTTAATGAAAACGAGAAAAATTGTTTCTTGTTTTTGTTTTAAATGTTTGTTTACTTTTGAGAGAGAGAGAGGGAGAAAAAGCGCGTGCCCAAGTGAGCTAGGGGCGCAGAGAGAGAGAGAGAAGCAGGGCTCATAGTCACCCGAACTGGGGCTCAAGCTCACCCAGTGTGGGATTCGAACTCATGGGATCATGACCTGAGCCGAAGTCAGATGCACCCAGGTGCCCTAAATGTTTGTTTATTTTTGAGCGAAAGAGCGTGAACAGGGGAGGGGCAGAGAGAGAGAGAGAAGGAAAGAGAGGGAGACAGAGGATCCGAAGCAGGCTTGGTCCTGACAGCAGAGAGCCCAGTGTGGGGTTAAACGCACTAACCTCAAGACCATGATCTGAGCCAAAGTCAGACGCTCAACCGACTGAGCCGCCCAGGAGCCCAAGATCATTTGGATTCCAATTAACGCTCAATACTTACTCAATTCCAAATAACGGCTCAGACCATGGGCCAGACACTGTCCCAGTGCTTCACCTCGCAGAACCGTTTTATTATCCTTCTTTTAATCTCGAAGGCAACTGAGCTCAGAGAAGTCAAGTAGCTTGCCCAAGGTCGCTCAGATAGTAAGTGACAGAGCTGGGGTTCAGACCCACACCTTTTGCCTCCGCACTCACATCTATTCTCCGTAGCAGCCAACAGATTGCACCACGTTTCTTTGGAGGGGCTGCAGGGACTCCCTCTAGGGCCGTGTCCTTTGACCTGTTTGATGGACACAGCTTGTTTCCAGTTTTGTTTCTTGTAAACCCTGCTGTCGTTGACCCCCTTGCGTATTTCACTTGGCCAATCTGTGCATGTTATATACATAGCATAAATTCCCAAAAGTGGCATTGCTAAGTTAAAAAGTTCTATCAGAAATTAGTTTGGGGGCGCCTGGGCGGCTCAATGGGTTGAGGGTCCAAGTTTGGCTCAGGTCATGACCTCATGGTTCGTGGGTTCGAGCCCCCGAGTCGGGCTCTCCGCTGTCACTGCACAGTCCACTTCAAATCCTCTGTCTCCTTCTCTCTCTGTGCCTCCCCTGCTTGTTCTCTCTCTCTCTCTCTCTCTCTCTCAACAATAAACATTTAAAAGGTTTTTCTAAGAAGAAAACCTTATGCCAAGTGAAATAAGCCAGTTACAAAAGGACAAAACACTGCATCATTCCCATTATAAGGCATAGTCAAATTAGAAGAGTAGCCAAATTCCTAGAGGCAGAAAGTGGTGGTTACCAGGGGCTGGGGGAGGGAGAGGGGGAGTTAGCATTTAACGGGGTCAGAGTTTCAGTTTGAGAAGGTGAAGCATTTTGGAGACAACTGGTGGTGCCGGTTACACGGTAGTGTGGCCGTGCTTAATACCACTGAACATGTAAAAATAGCTAAAATGCTAAATTTTATGTTATGTCTGTTTTGCCACAATAAGGATGCCAGTCTTGGTGACTCCAAATAGTCTTCTGAAAAGGTTAGGTCTCAGACGCCTTTTTTTAGTTGGTTTTGATTGTATAACGTCATTTAGTTACGAACATAATTATTAGTAACCAATAAGGTTTTTTTTTTTTTTTTAATTTTTTTTTCAACGTTTTTTATTTATTTATGGGACAGACAGAGACAGAGCATGAACGGGGGAGGGACAGAGAGAGAGGGAGACACAGAATCGGAAACAGGCTCCAGGCTCCGAGCCATCAGCCCAGAGCCTGACGCGGGGCTCGAACTCACGGACCGTGAGATCGTGACCTGGCTGAAGTCGGACGCTTAACCGACTGCGCCACCCAGGTGCCCCTATAACCAATAAGGTTTTAAGCGAGCACTGAATAAACCGAGTTTTAACATTGGAAATGGCGAGTTTTCCTTTGTATGAAGACACTGTTGGGTGCCTCGAGTCCTGGGGCTTCAGCTTGGCTTTGCTAAGTGGTGGGATGATTTTCTCACCCGGCTTCGCCTGGCCCCTCTTGAAATTCAGTACCCCCTTCCTTGTTCTGACGTCATTCCGTTTATACGTAGTTCTATGCTACGGGACTAGGACATATATACAGTGCTTCGCGTAAAATCTCTACCTTCTTGTGATAGCTAAGTGGGAGTTTAGAGTACGGCGTGTATGCCATAGATTCAACTCTGAGGACCTCATTCTCAACCAAGGGTGAGCTAACTCCTCCAGGAACATCTGGCCATGTCTAGAGACAATTTGATACTTGTAGCTAGAGAAGGTGACACTGACATCGCATGGGTAGAGGTCAGGGATGCTGTTAAACATTGTGTGATTCACAAGATGGACCCCACAACAAAGTCTTTTCAGCCCCAAATGTGAGCAGTGCCAAGGCTGGGAAGCTCCGACCTGATCCTAGGAGATTATTTTCAGGGTTTCCTTTTGCGATCACTTGGGATGGAAATGCATTTTTAGGCAAAGCCATTGACTCAAAAAAAGTTTCAACGTTTTACAGGCTTCTTGGAAAAGAACAATGATCTCCTCTACAGACATCTGAAAGAAGTAAGTGTGAAGTTTAACCATGTGTGTTTCTGATGGTTGTTAGATATCACCCATGACCCGGATTTGGGGCTAGATTGGGCCTCCTGGATTTTTCTCTGCAGTCCTTTACGATAGACCTTCATGGCCGGAACGGATATTTGAGGTCATCTGTACGATGTGCCCTTGATCCAACGTGCCTATTCAAGTGTGTATGTTGCCCCTGCTGTGTGCCAGAACTCTGTACCCGCTCTGGGCGGTCCTTGCTCTCACGAGGCTTACCATGGGGGTGGGGAGTGGCTGAGGATAAATATATACATTGACCCCTGAACAACAAAAACCCGCCAATCCTCCGTGCAGTCAAACATCCACCTATAACTGGGCACCTGGGTGGCTCAGTTGGTTAAGCATCTGACTTCGGCCCAGGTCATGACCTCATAGTTCATGAGCTCGAGCCTTGCATCGGGCTCCGCGCTACTGTGCGGAGTCTGCTTGGGATTCTCTCTTTCTTCCTTTCTCTCTGCCCCTGCCATGCTCTGTTTCTCAAAAATAAATGATTTTAAAAATCCATCTAAGACTTTTGACTTCCCACAACTTAACTGCTAACAGCCTGCCGTTGACCGGAAACCTTACCGGATGCATAAACAGCTGATTCACACATATTTTGTCTGTTACGTGTATCATATATGCTGCATTCTTAAAAGGAGGTAAGCTAGAGAAAAGAAAATGTTAGTAAGAAAATCTTACAGAGACTCTTAAATACAGAGAACAAACTTGAGGCCCCCAAACCAAGAGCACACTGTATACTCTGTATGTTAGCCAACTTAACAATAAATCGTATTAAAAAAAAAAAAGAAAATCTTAAAATACATTTATAGTAATGTTGCTGTTAAAAAAAAAAAAAACTACATGTAAGTGGATCCATGTGGTTCAAATCCGTATTGTTCAAAGGTCAACTGCACACGATAAGTTACCCATCAGTGAGAAGTGCTATGAAGAAAATAAGGAAATATGATTGAGAGGGACATTTTCTTTTTTAAAGTTTGTTTATTTTGAGAGAGACAGAGCATGAATGGGGGATGAGCAGAGAGAGGGAGAGGGAGAATCCCAAGCAGGCTCAGCACTGATGCAGAGCCTGACACAGGGGCTTGAATTCACAAACTGTGAGATCATGACCTGAGCCGAAATCAAGAGTCAGATGCTTAACTGATCGAGCCACCCAGGTGCCCTGAGAGGGACATTTTAAATTTAGTTTAAGAGATCAAAGAAAGCACCCCTCTGGAGGTGACTTTGAGCTGTTGACTGGAAAAAATGGGGTTTCTCCAGGGTAGGGGACCAGCATGTGCAAAGGCCCTGAGGCCCAGATGAGTTCAGTGTGTGTTCAGTGACGAGTATAATGTTAGGAGCGGGGACTGAGCCCATCAGGATGAAGTCCCCAAGGAGGAGTAGAGATTTTTGTTCTGGTGCAACGGGAATATAGCGGGGTAGCACAAACAGAGGATGAGGAGACGGACCCAGAGAAATCTCAACTTGTTCAAGGTCACACGGTGAGGTGGGGCTGAGATTAGCCCCTAGGGCTGCTGCTGCAAGTCCCAGTCTCCCTCCATGTACCTCACTGATCAGAAAAACCTTGGGTGTTGTAGAGCCTTGCTTTGCATTGAAACAGTCAACTGTTTTATAAAAATGGGATTTTATTTAAGTAGCTTGGTCTACAAAAAGCTTAAACGTTAGGGAGGCATTTTCAGAGTGGACGCACAAACCAGTCATTTCAGGATGTCTTCTGCCCTCCCTGGTCTTTCTCTGTCACTTCTAGGTCCTCTTGTCCCCACCTCTGGGGTTCAGGATAGAGAAGCAATTCCTAACTTTGGATCTCTGCTCCAGGCAGGTGCTCCCTCAGTCATTGTCAGCCCCACCCCTTCCCAACTGGGGGTCTCGGGCAGACCTCCCCATCTGGTGAGGTGGGTCTGGTGGGGCCTCCCTCTCAGAGTCGCGGTGAATGACACAGGAGTGGAAGGGCCGGGCCGACACAGGGAACGTAATAATCGTCTCCTGACGATTTGACACACTGGCCTCTGTGTGCCATGCCCCTGCCCCTCACAAACCCACCCACGGAGGGGGCTTCCCGTGGAAAAATCTCCAAGTCTCTCACTTGACCAGCCAGGGCTGAAGCTCCTTGCACTTTGTTTTGGCTTCAAAATGGGTCATTTCAATTTGCTCTCTCCTGTATGCAAATTGCTGTTTCCTGCCATTGTAAATGCAGAATTAGAGTGGATTAAACAATTTTTTTTAAATTTAAAGAAACGTTGGGGGGCACAGGGGACTCTGTCGGTTAAGCGTCTGACTTCGGCTCAGGTCATGACCTTGACGTTTGTGGGTTCAAGCCCCGCATTGGACTCTGTGCTGACAGCTCAGAGCCTGGAGCCTCCTTCAGATTCTGTGTCTCCTTCTCTCTCTGCCCCCACCCCCCTCCACTCTCTGTCTGTCTGTCTGTCTCTCTCTTTCCCTCAAAAATCAGTAAGTAAACTTAAAAAATACCATAAAATGAAGCTTTAAACATTTCCTTCCGTGTTTGACTATGTCTTTTCCCCACTTCTTCAAGTGCTCCGGAAGTAAGTGGCTCTGGGACCTTGTGCACACTTGTGCAAGCTCTCCTGAAGGCCCCTTAGTGATTTCCGAAACACTGAACGTGGAACTCCTTTCTTTTACTTGCAGGTGCTCTGCAGTTCCAAAAATCGCATCCTGAAGGAATGCTTCCTGGTGGCTGAGTTAGAAAACCGAAGAAGGCCACCAACGGTGAGTGGGGAGGTGGGGAAAAAATGCTCATGCAGAATTAGAAAGGTAGCAAAAATCAGCCAGAGGGCACAGTTACCCCCAGTTACCTATACATTTTAAGCTGTCCTTCCTTTTTCTGGAAATGTTGCTAACATGTTCTACTAAATATATACTTTCCAAGTGTAGTAACCAGTGTGCTTATTTGCACTCACTGAGTGCCTACTGTGTACAGGGGGCACAGGAGTTAACGCTAACAAAATGGACAAGATCTCTCTTCTCATGGGGCTTATAATCTAGTGAAAGAAAGTATGGGAAAATACCATCAAAGAAAGAAAGAACTTAAAACAGTGCGTCATAAAGGAAGCTTGGTAACAAGGAAATAAGAGAGCATGGGGGTGATGGTCTCAATGGCGATACTGGCTCTTACAAGGTGCTGATCACATATTTGCTAAGTGAAGGAAGAATTCTGGACAGGTGCTTGTCCGGCTTCTGCTTGACCAGTCTGAGCCTGTACTTCTCGGGCCAGGACATTCAGAACCTTCTCCTAGTGGGCAGAATGGTAATGGGTAGGATAATATGTCAGGAGTTGGGACCTAAAGGGCTAGCCAATCTTCTCTGTATTTACTTGGAGCTGCAATCTCTACTTAGTTCATTCTCTCTCTCTCTTTCTCAAGGTGGGGACTCAGTTTAAAAACAGCCTGAGCAGCCTTCTGGAAATCCTCATCTCTAAGGAACCTTCATACATCCGTTGCATCAAGCCCAATGAGAGGAAAGAACCCAGTGAGTCATGAGTCGTTCTGAACACTGAACTCAGGGAAATAAGGCTGGGAGGAAAGCCAAGGTGTCAGTGGGTTAAAATCCTAACAAAAAAACAAAAAACCAAAAACCCCACAGGCTTGTTCCTTGCTCTCCATACATGATTTATTTTCATTTTTAAATAATAGAAGGTAAATGAATAGGGAGGGAGAGGAGTTTTTTTGGTGGTCCTGAGTGACCATTGCTCAGAGCCTGGCCAGTTTCAGGAGCAGCACAGCTGAGCCAGGCAGATGTCAGAGGTGGGGGGAAGCAGTGTTGCTTCTCTCCAGCCAGTGAACAGTTTTCCAAATGGTCTGGGACTTGGGTATCTTCCACGCTGATGCCATGGTCGGTAACACAGTTGTGTAGTCAGAGGCTTACAGAAGGCAGGCAGGAAGAGCACGTGAGTGAAGCAGGATGTAAGGCAATAGGGAGTGGAGGGGACTGTGGCAAACTGCAAAGGGCACATGCTGTCTAAAGGAGCAGCCCTGTTACCTTCCAGCTAGTTATTGCCACGTGGGACTCTAGCCCAGCATGGCCAGATATCTTTTTTTTTTTTTTTAAGAGAAGCCAGAAATCCAATTTTTGCTGTAAATTCCCCCATTAAAATAAAACAACAGAGTTAGGACCTGACAAAATATGTCCGTGGCCAGACCCAGCCCACAGATGGTCAGCTTGCAGCCTGTGATCTGTCTTGGTTGAAACGGAGCCATGGAATCCTTTACTGTCACTCTCCCTTCTGTGTTTCCAAAGGCAAGTTTGATGACTTGCTCATAAGGCATCAGATCAAGTACCTGGGGCTGATGGAGCACCTGCGGGTGAGACGGGCTGGCTTTGCACACCGGCGGAAATATGAGCATTTCTTGCAAAGGTAAAGTTGGTTTTGTTGAGTTGAAGCTGGTACAAATACCTACTGTGTGAGGACTCTCAGGGTGCGTTGCTGAATAAAAGGCCAGGCCCCAGGCAACTCCATTTGGTTAATTGCTGTAGACTTGACTGTGATGAGCACTAACATTTTGCAGAATAGGAAACTGATTCGCCGTACCTCCTTCCCTTCCTGACGTTAAGCCTGTAACTTCTTGGAGTCCAGGAAACACAGGTTAACGCACAGACCTGCCACCCAGGGGGCAGAGTGGGCAGTGCACCACTTGAGTCTGTATTTAGTTGGGGAAGACCCTTCCCATGGTGATTGTAGGTGCTAGTTTAGCCTTCAGTCTGGAAACGATCCTCCCGGCCTCATGGGCTATCAAGAGAAGCAGGTGGAGTGGTGTGAACATAAGTTCATAAGGATTTAATGATATAACCCCACCACCACCGCCACTCAAATTGCTTGTGCATCAGCACTTCATTGGTGGGGGGCTATGTGTAAATTTGTCCTACCAAAAAAAAAAAAAAAAAAACCACATTCTCACACACTCAAGGGAAGCAGAATAAAATTGTTATTTTTGTGGGTTGCCATGGTTGAATATTGGCAATTTTATATTTTAACCTGATACTAAGCTGCTTTTGAGCTTCAACTGTATAAAAGCCTTGCGCACGAGCTTACATTTTTCATCAGATTTCTTGCATTTTGCAACTTACATCCAGATCCTGCCCTTTGAAACTTGAGCGTTTTCTAGCAGCTCTAATTTGTAGCCCCTGATTTAGTGACCTCAGATCTTTCTCTACCAAGTTTCATGTTTGTTTTTCTCCCGTGAGCCTCATGCCTTGATAAGTAATATCTGCTTATATGCATTTATTAAGTAATAATCTCTTTCCTTACTGTTCTGTTAATGATTTATATACCTGCTGACACCCTTTAGCTGTAACCCCCTTATCTCCTTACCACCCCCACTCCAGCCCGAAGCACTCACTAACCTACTGCTTGTCTCTCTAGATTTCCCCATTCTGAACATTTCATATGCATGAAATCATACAGTATGTGGCCTTTTGTGACTGGTTTCTGTCACTTGGCATAGTGTTTTCAAGGTTCATCCCTGTTGTAGTGTATATTTTCATTCCTTTTGAGGGCTGAATGATGCTCCATTGTGTGGATAGACAGGCCACATTCTATTTATGCATTATCAGTTGATGGGCATTTGGATTGTTTCTGCTCGGGGCTATGATGAATAATACTGTTCTGCATATAACATATAATATGCATATAACATATAATAATACTGTTATGCATATGCATAGGTTTTTATGTGGACATGTGTTTTTATTTGGGAGGGGGTATACCTATGAGTAGATTACTAGGTTGTATGATAATTCAATGTTTATTTGTTTGAGGAACTACCAGACTGTTTGCCTTGTGTTTGCTCATCAGCTACTTGTATTTCATTCACCATTTTCACATATCCATTTTTTTCTGAGTCTAACTTGGGGTAGAGATGGCCAGAATCAGCAGCCGCCGCCCACCCTACCCCCTAAACACATGCGCATTTGATGTTCCCATTTTTTTTTTTGCATTTTTTTTGCACTTCACAAATCTTTTCTATTTTGTTATTGCCTGAGGCTCCTTCACTCTTTCTGTAAACACTACTGAGCACCTGCTGTGTACCAGCGCTGTCCTTGGTGCTGGGTAACTGCAGGACAGCACAGACCCCACTGCAGCATGGGGTTTGCTTCCCAGTGGGGGAGCCCACTAGCTATAATGAGGATATAGGCGGTCAAATGGGGATATGTCTTTGAAGGGAAATGAATCTGGGGAGGGGAAAGAGGAGCAGGGTCAAAAGGTGGAAGGCTTTACCTCTTTAGGTAAGGTGGTCTGGGAGGGCCTTTCCAAGTGGAGCGAGGGAGCCATGAAGGTATTTGGGGACAGTGATCCAGGGAGGAGAGCCTGGAGGTGGGAACTGGGTGGGCTGGAGGAACAGCCAGGAGGCTGGCATGGCTGCAGGTCAGTGGGGCTCAGGGAGGGGCTAAAGATGATCATATGTGTGCACCCTGCCTGGCCTTACTTCCCTTGATCAGGAAGCTATTGTATCTCACATTTGAAATTTACTAGTGGAACTTACACAGATGGAACGTACTAGTCTCTCTCCCTGCCAGTGTTTAAGGCATCTCCTCATTCCCCGCCGTGTCTGTCTAGCCCATGTTTGGACAACTTTGATGACGTGTGCTAGTGATGGGCGTGGCCTGGACAGCCGGGAGCAGGGCCTGGGGCTGTACTGTGTTCCCTGGGGTTGGCGTGCCCCTGTGCCTTTGTGCGTACGTGGCTAGACCGGGAAAGGTAACCAGGGAAGAACACATGACACTCAGTGCCTGTCTTAATTCAGGCGGCTAAAACAAAGTACCGGGGACTGGGTGGTTTACAAACAACAGAAATTTATTTCTCACAGTTTGGGAGGCTGGAAATCTGAGCTCGAGATAGCAGTGTGGTCATGTTCCGGTGAGGACTGTCTTTTGGGTTGCATGAAGTCCGCCATTCTCTCATATCCTCGCGTGGGGGAAGGAGGGTGAGGGAGATCTCTGGAGGCCTCTGTTATAGGGACACTCATCCCTTTCATGGAGGCTCCCTCATGACCTCATCACCTCCCAAAGACCCCACCTCCTAAAGCCATCACATCGTGGGTTAGGATTTCAGCATGTGAATTTAGGAGTAAGGAGACGACACAAACATTCAGTCCATTGCCCTTCATGGACTTGCTCATAAAGTATAGTTCCTGGAAAATAAACCCATTTTAACAGAGTAAAATGTGGGGTCCTGGGTGGCTCAGTTGGTTAAGCATCCGACTTCGACTCAGGTCATGCTCTTGCAGTCCGTGGGTTCGAGCCCCGCGTCGGGCTCTGTGCTGACAGCTCAGAACCTGGATCCTGTTTCGGATTCTGGGTCTCCCCCTCTCTCTGCCCCTCCCCTGATCACACGCTGTGTCTCTCTCAAGTAAAACATGAACGAATTTTAAAAAACAGTGTAAAATGTGATTTTGAAATAGTAGGAACCATATAACATTATTAAGGGCGAGAAGCATAGTAGGAGTCACGTAGCTAACATTTTTTTGAAGTCTCGGACTGTGTCCAGTGCTCTCCACAGATTATCTCCCTTCAGCCTTGTGACGGTCCCACGAGAAGGGCTTGTTATTGTTCGTGTTGCACAGGGTGAGGAGGTGAAGTGACTTGCCCTCAAACCCAGCCAGGGCGGTCCCGGATATAATTTCTACCCTTGGTCCACGGGCACTTGGAATTCTGTGTTCTCTTATTTCATTATGTTACAGACAACCATGGTTCTGTCTATGGTGACCACATATAGAAGGGAGTTGTATTGTGTGCTGAAATCAGGTCCGTAAATCAGCATTACGTCCAAAATTACCCTTGAAAAATCCCTCGTCACTTACCAAGCACGGTACCTTTTCTTCCTGTGCTGGCCCACGTTCATTTATCTATTCGTTCATCGGCAGACGGACATTTGGGTTGTGTCTACCTTTTGTCTATGATGAGTGATGACACCGTGAACGTTCACGTATGAGCTTGTGTGTGGACGTATGTTTTCATGCCTCTGCGTGTGTACTTAGGAGTGGAATGGAGTTTCTTGGGTGGGGTGTCTGACGATGTCATTGTTCTATGGAGACAGACCAAACCCACCCCGTTGAGACCGTTTCTCCCTTTTATGTTTCTTGCCAAGTGTGTGTTATTGAATTCAAGGAAGTTGGTATGATGAGTCTGCTAGATTGTGCTGAGTAGCTGACATACCACAGCGGAGCACATCCTGAGCTCCGGAGGGGAGTGGGGGTGGGGGAGGTGAGTGGAAGGTCCGAAGACTTTCTGCAAGGGCCTCTCCTCTCCCCAGGTACAAGTCCTTGTGCCCAGACACCTGGCCACACTGGCACGGGCCTCCAGCAGAGGGCGTAGAACGGCTGATCCAGTACATCGGCTACACGCCCGAGGAGTACAAGTTAGGGAGGTAAGTGGCCAAGAAATCCCCATTGAAAAGGTTTGTGCATTGACCTGTATGTGTCTAGAGCCTGGAGATGAATTTTTAAAGGAATTTACATAGATTGACAAGCGGATACCTCCATCCACTCAAGTTAAATGCAGCTCTGTGAAGAAAACACTGTGTGTACCTGCTCACCTTGCTTTGCTCACACAGAATATTACACAACGTTTCTGAAAGTAGCTGAGTGTCCACAGTTGAGCTCCGTTCTGACACTGTCTACCTAGGTAGTGTCCAATGCCCAAGTTAAGGACTCAGCCTTGCCAGACTGTCTACCCCCGCCCCCCACTTCAGATGCCAGTTACAAGTCCCACTGGTCACCTGTGCTTCTGACCACTGACTGGCTAGCTATTGGAGGTTCCCAGGACCCCCTCTTTGGGTTCAATCGATTGGCCAGAGTGGCTCAGAAAACTCAGAAAAAAATTTTTACTTGGGTCCCTGAGTGGCTCGGTCGGTGGAGCCATCAGCTCAGGACATGGTCTCGCAGTTCAGGAGTTCGAGCCCCGCATCAGGCTCACTGCTGTCAGTGAAGAACCTGCTTCAGAACTTCTGTTCCCCTCACTCTGCCCCTCCTCCGCTTGCACAGACGCTCTCTCTCTCTCTCTCTCTCTCTCTCTCAAAAATAAAAATTAAAGAAAAAGTAAAACATTTTTCTTACTGGATTGCCGGCTTATTACAAAAAAATAGAACTCCAGAACAGCCAGATGGAGGAGATACATAGGGCGGGGTCTGGGGAAGAAGCCTGGAACTTCCACGCCCTCTCCAGGTACAGTCAGAACATCACGCCAGGTCTTTTTTTGGCGGGGGGGCAGGGGGGAGCGGTTATGGAGGCTTCATTACATGGGCACGATTGACAAAGTCACTGGTCATCAGTTCAACCCCCAGCCCCTCTCCCCTACCTCGAGGCGGGGCTGAAAGTTCTCAGCCTCTCATCTCAAGATTGGTTTCCCTGGCAGCCGGCTCCCATCCTTAGGTTATCCAAGGGGGCTTTGCACACATCACTTCCTTAGCAGAAACTCGGGTGTGGTGTGGTCGAAAGGGATCTGTTAATGACTAGTAAGACACCCATTTCACTCTTATCCCTTTGAAACCATTTCAGGAACAGAGTCCAAATATAACAAAAAGATGCCCCTGTTGCTCTAATTACAAGGATTTGGGGAGCCGTGATACTGGAACAGGACAAAGACCAAACATGTATATATTTTTTAATGTTTATTTTGAGAGAGTACGCACAGGGGAGGGGCGGGGAGGGGGAGAGAGAATCCCAAGCAGGCTCTGCCCTGCCAGTGCAGAGAGCAACACGGGGCTCGATCTCAGGAACTGTGGTTAAGAGTCGGACACTCAACCGATGCTTAACTGGCTGAGCCCGCCAGGCATCCCCAAGTATGTATTTATTATTAAGAGTCACAACATCACAAGCTCCAAGTGGTTGGGAGGGCTCTAGCACTGCCTACGGGAGGAGATTAAGTTAGAAAGGAACCCTGTGTTCTATACCTCACTCAGGGCTGGGTTGAACGTCTTTGCCTGCAAGATGAGCTTGTTTGGTCTTGTTATTGATCACATGCACGCAGGACCTCTCAGAGGGGATATTAGGACTTCTGTGATGCCAAAGCTCCTCGGGCATCCCAGAAGGTGGTGTTCTAGAACTCCGAGTACATTACTATCGCTGTAGTTGTCCGCGAGGAGAACTTTTGTACACATTGGAAGCGTTTGAGGCAGAACTCAGTGGGGCGAACCGCGAAGATTTTAGTTTGTCCTATAAGTCCTTTTGGTCAGGGTGAATTAGGTGGTAGGGAGCGGTGCCCAAGGGTATAGACGGGCATTCCCAGGCCACAGAGAATCCAGCTCCAGGGATCTCTGCCTTCGAATCTATCAGGGGCTTTGCCTGTCAACTCCTAACTCCCACTCACATATTGACAGCCATCTGGCCACCTGGTCCCTCTCCATCCTTACACTTCTGTCCTGGGACCTGCTTCAAGTATTAACCACATTTCTAAGCCTGATCCCTGAGGGGAATGGAGCTTCACACAGCCCAAGGGAGGCGGACTAAAGAGGTCATAGGTGGTAAGTTGCCCTCACAGGGTGCATAGGGCAGGTAGAAAGTGATGCATATTGATAATTTATCTTTGCTGGTGGAGGGGATTTCCTTTTTTTTTTTTTAATTTTTTTTTAACATTTATTTTTTGAGAGACAGAGCGTGAGCAGGGGAGGGACACAGAGAGAGAGAGAGGGAGACACAGAATCCGAAGCACGCTCCAGGCTCAGAGCTGTCAGCACAGAGCCTGACATGGGGCTTGAACTCACGAACTATGAGATCATGACCTGCGCTGAAGTCAGATGCTTAACAAATTGAGCCACCCAGGCGCCCCAAGGGGATCTTCTTTTAAGCTGAGACTGGGGGCACCTAGGTGGCTCAGTTGGTTAAGCATCTGATTCTTGATTTCGGCTCAGGCCATGATCTCACGGTTCTTGGGATCGAGCCCCATATCAGGCTCTGCACTGACAGTGTGGAACCTACTTGGGATCCTCTCTGTCCCTCTCGGCCCCTCCCCCACTTGTGCGTGCACACACTCTCTCTCAAATAAACATTTTTTAAAAAGATAAAACCTGGGGCGTCTGGGTGGCTCAGTTGGTTGAGCGTCCGACTTCGGCTTGGGTCATGATCTCGCGGTCCGTGAGTTTGAGCCCCGCGTCAGGCTCTGTGCTGACAGCTCAG